CCCCTGTGGCCCTTACTCCAGGCTTTGATGCACACTTTCTTCCTTTATCTCTCCCTCCTGGGAGAGATAGTGGTGTCTACAGCTGCTCATCCCTGACTGCCTTACCTTTCCCTGCTCACTCTTTCACTTCCTCTAACACAAGCATGTCAAACTCATAGGCTAACATGGGCCAGCTGTGGGCCACATATGGCCTGCGGGCTGCAAGTTTGACATGCTTGGGTTACACCTTCTCTGCTGTTAATATAAAATATAGGCATAAGCTTAAAAAATGGTAGCAAAGTGGTGTCACCAAACTAAGAAGTCAAATGCAAAATGACATGCCAAAGAATGAACCTTTTGGCCAGATAAAACTGAACCTCAGGTGAGAATGTGTATGAGAAATCAACTCTCTGAAGATTGGTCAGTTTATTTTGAAGCATGTCATGTCTACCCAAGACAGGTTATTCCCTGAAGGATCAGCACTGGTCATTGGCCTAGAGTAGAAGAGAAACAGCAGAGACCAGAACACAGCAGTGCCAGGCCCTGTGTACACATAAAGGGACCCTGCTTAGCCTCAGTACTCTCTCATTTTGGCATCACACAATTTGGAAAAGGAAACCCAACTACTAGAAAAGTATGACCCCCTTTCTCTTCAAAGAAATAGCTTATTTACATCGTGGAGTGGAACCCCAATTCTTTAATACTTCTGACAAGTTTTATTCTAGTAACACGGCCAGTCTGAGCGGGGATCTGGTATTTCAATACAAATAAGATCCTTAGAGATTCAGAACCTTATTCCTTCCTCCTTGTTAACCTTAACCTCTTCTGGAGTTATGCGGGCTGTTTTATGAAGATTGATTCAGAGATACTCAGAGGGCTATTGAGGTTCTACTGGGAAGGATTCTTGCCCCTCTCCTTGGGGGTACAAGATATTGACTGACCGGCATTGGGGCTGTCACTCTGTGTTCTCTAGACAAATCAGCAGAACGGCACGAGGTGATCGAATCCCAACACTCAGAAGGACGCACTGGAAGTCGAGCTCCGTGGCAGGCTCACCTGCAGAGTCACCAGAGACTATGGTGTCGACCTTTCTGAGAAGAGCAGAGTGTGAGATTCTTCAAAAAGTCTAACATAGGCTGAACACTCAGCTCTAAATTATTTACCCAGACAGGAGTAAAATATATTCCTGAACACCAGGCGTGCATGGCTCTGAGGAACGACAGGGCCCTGCCGGCACACGGGAGGCCCTCAAAACAAGTCTGTTGAATGAGTAACAAAAAATGACCAGAGTCCATCAAACATCAGCCTGGTTACATGTAAGAACACAGAGCCCTTTCCAAACTGCTTCTTTTTTTTGTAACTGAGGATTCCTCACTTCTGTCATTCCCTTACTAATAAGCCAGGTACAATAATTTTAAACAAGAATTCCTAAATCAGTAAGAAAGTAAGGTCTCACAAAGAATAGACGGGCTTCTTGTAATTTATTTGAGTTATTTCCAAGCAACAGTTACAAAAGTTTTTAATTTTTATAATACTCTTGATAAGAAAATAAAATTTAAATAAAAATACATTCTCAATAATACAATATGGTTACACAAATGCACTACATTAAGTTTTGATAACTTACATTTTAAAACTGGACACTGTAAAAACCGATATTTACTAGCAACATATTAATTTCCAAGTTATAAAAATGGAAGCAAATAATATCAATCAAGGCTGGTAGTTTAACTCGAGAATAAGTCCTGTATTTTTCACATCAGCAAGCACACCTGAAAAGCTCTGTTGCATTCTGTCTTTACAGTATGTACCGTTAGAACAAATTAAAGGTGCTTTTACGTTTAAAACAATCTGTTTTCTAAAACCTGGTATGAATGAGCCTTTCTGATAAATGAAATTAGGCTTCAAAATCAGAGACAAAAGCCACAGCATTTGTCATTTTTTTGAATAATAAGGAAAGCCTCATTTGACACTTAACCATTACCTGTTATATTATAAACATATTTCTTTGGCAAATAAAATCATTCAATTTGATAAATTATATTCCTGGGAGTGAAAACTTTGCTATTGCCCATCATCTTATTAAATGAATATTAAAACACAAAGTTGAACAAAAAACAAAACAAATAACAACAACAAAACAAGTAAGAGATCACCTCAATTTCAACTGATGGAAGTGGCTAATTTAAGAACCAGAACTGGCATTTATGGCAAGAGTAGTCTGTATCGTTTTTTTTCTTTCCTTCTTGGGGTTTCCAGGTTTTTAGGGTGAAGTGAGCTGCCATATATGTTTTCAAGTGTGGAAAAGGCAGAGAAAGCAGACCAGGTAGTAAAAATCAAAGTATTCATAGGTAACGGCAGAGGAATGAGGCCCTGGGGAGCCAAACAAAAGCACTACTAGCCAGACTTACATTAATAAGTCACAGTTTTAAACCGAAACGTGTAAATACTCCAAGGTTCAAAGTACCACATTTAGAAAATGTTTAAGTTCAAAAAGACAAAATAAAAGTACCGTGGTTTTTAATACTGATGAAGCAAAGTATGTCCCTCTTGACTTCAAGTTGGCAACTTGCTTCGATTGCTTATTTACAGTTACGGTTTTTAGGATAAAAGTAAATTATTAGGATAAAACAGGATTCAAACAGTTGCTTGCCCAAATACCATTTGGCTAGCAGGCAATAAGGAAATAGCAATGAAATATAAACGTTTTCAGGAAAGCACTATTTCTAGACTTAAACACCGATCATTGAACTGATCATAAGGATTAGATACCACGGAGTATCTAAAGCATAATCTGGGGCCTGGGAGCCCAGATTATTAAAGTGCGCTGGGCGACTGTTCTGGAGTTGGCTCTCAACTTGGTAACAGTCACACTAGGAGAGGGCGTCCCGATGGTGGCCCTTATATAACACAACATGGAATAGCAGGTGAAGTCGAGTGATTTTCCCACCACCTTCGTTCACTGTTTACTCTCTCCTTTTTCAGAAGAAATGTCCTTAGCAGTCATGTTAACCTGAACTCTCAAATCAAGAAAATGAGTACCTGATATTTAAAACCATGAAAAAAATTTAGTGGTCTTATTTTATTTCATTTGCCACCATTCATCCCAAATGTAAACAAGATGCACCCAACAGTGCATGTTCCCTGGTTCCTCCTATCTGAGTTCTGTTTACATCTTCAATCAGGCAGTTTTCTAAAGTTTCAGTCAATGCTCTTAATGTAATCTGTAATGACTAATGGACCAAAGAAAAATCTTGTATTTTTTTCTTTTTTTTTTTTGGAGGCAGAGGGTCTAGGTGAACTAAATAAATGGAAAGCTCTGAGTTATGGCCTGGGATTTTCTAGAAAAACAACACAATGTTGGCAGTATAGAGCAGGCACTAATGGTAGTGAAAAGTCCACAGAACACGGAGTGTGTTATAAAAACAGATGGTACGGAGTTCTCCTTTTGTTACAAAGCTTCTTTAGGAAGATTCTTTCTATTTAAAAAAAGTTGCAGAAACATGGCTTTCGACACACAGATATGAAGGGAATCTTGGATTTCAAATTCTATAGCAATACATCAATATGGGATTCCCAAATAGTTAATTCCAATTATTAAATATTAAATACAAAGTGAATGCAGATGACACTGAAGCCAATGTTCATTCTTAAATACTATAAACAAAACATATGATGAATTGAAAAACTCCAACAAAAATATTTTCCAGTTCTGAATCAATTGGTCAAACTCTAGGATGCTTTCCCACCAATTGGATTTTCCCTAGAAAAAAAGAGAAAATATTTTTTCAAAAGTTAAAAAAATACAACATTTAAAAAAGTGACACACACCACATAGTATCTATTAAGTATTTATAATTTTCCCTTGGTAATCTCTCATGCCAAGTCTTACTTCATTAACTCAGCAAGTACTTGCTGACCACCTAACCACCTATTAAATGTCAGGCACTATTTCAGAAGCTACAGCTACAACAGTGAAGAGAATAGACAAAACCTTTTGTCCTCCTGGAGCTTACATTATGGGGTAAGGAAAATAAAACGAACAAGTAAAATATTCAGTACAAGAGGGATTGGTATTTCTTTTTTTTTTTTTTAAATATATTTTATTGATTTTTTAACAGAGAGGAAGGGAGAAGGATAGAGAGTTAGAAACATCGATGAGAGAGAAACATTGATCAGCTGCCTCCTGCACACCCCCCACTGGGGATGTGCCCGCAACCAAGGTACATGCCCTTGACCGGAATCGAACCCAGGACCCTGGAGTCCGCAGGCCGACGCTCTATCCACTGAGCCAAATCGGTTAGGGCGGGATTGGTATTTCTTGATCGAGAAAAATAAAGCTGGAGAGGGGCACAGTGTGTGTGTACAGGAGGACCTACTACGTAAGGATGGCCAACACTGGCTAGGGCTCATAGGGAAACTTCCTGGGGCTCCAACACCGTATGGTGCTGTTGGAAGAGAACCGACTACACCAATGTAGAAGAGACAGGATTAGAATGTTTACAATACACTGAGCCTTCGATCCAGGGCGAACATAAACATTTATACCTGTCAAACTGATTTTTATTGCTCAAAACTCGGACAGACTGTCAAACTACAGCAGGAAGGCCGGGGAGGGTGGGAGGGCAGGAGAGGGGTGGGTAAGAGATCAACCGAAGGACTTGTATGCATGCATATAAGCATAACCAATGGACATAAGACACTGGGGGGTAGGGGAGGCCAGGGGATTGTCAAGGGCGGGGGGGAAAAAAAAGGAGACATATGTAATACTCTTTGTAATTATTTAAGCAATAAAAAAAAAGAATTCAAACTTATAGAGCTCAGAACACTGTTAATGGGGTTAGTACACTTAGAATTCTAAATAATAGAAAATAGAATTGTCAGGAAATGGTTATGGAACACTTGAAATAGCAGTAAATTGAACCTTAATATAAAACGGGCAGCGTAAATAAACTGAAAACACGTTAAAAAAAAAGCACAAAAATAATTATTTATCTGCATAATTTAAAACACACACACCTAAAGTGATGGGGCCTGGATTCAAAGTCCCCTCACACATCAGCTGTGTGACGTTGGGCAAGGCGCTTCTCTTGCCTGAGCCTCAGTGACTCCGGCTGAAAATGGGAATGTAACGATGTTGGCTCACGTGAGGATCAATGAGAGAGGGTACCTTGTGGCACACACTTACTTGCTGGTCTAAGGACTGTCCCCTCCCTATTGACTTCTGTGTAAACAGGAAAAAGATTCTAGTGCTAGTCCGGGACAGTCCTGCAGCCTGGGGGAAACTGGAGTTACCATTAGATAAGGTTCTTTTCTCTCAGTGAGGATAAAACAGCTCCTTCTACCTCTGGACACTATTATATAAAAATGTGAGGCTCTGAACTATTGTAGCCCATCTGTGAGCACGAGGGGACAGCTGAGGACAGAAATCACCTGTTGAGGAGGCTGAGTGGCTGGATGGACTTTGATGAGAGCACTAAGCTGGTGAGCTAAACAACTGTAGAAGTTAGGACTCAATTTGTGAGATTAAAAGATTTCTTATTGGTTAGGACTTCAACTGGGATTTTCTGTTACTTGATGCTAAAAATAATCTAAGTGATCTGATCTAAAGTACTGGGCACAGTACCTGGTGCTAGATAAGCTCCTAATAAGTGTTGGCTGTGTTGTTATCCACTGTAGTATCCATCTACAGCTGATGATGGATTCGAAAATCTACTATAAAGTACTCTGGCACTTTGACATCAGATTTTTTTTTTTTTTTTTTTTTTTTTTTGGTACGTAGTATGTATAAGGCACTGTGGGAGATACTAAGGAGGAAGAGGGTCAGTAAAAACAAAATGAATAACAGGCTACCGGGTATTCAATTTAATGGATGACGTTGGGATATAACATTAAAAGTAGAGATGATGTACAGCACCAACATGAGGAGATGATACCAGAATTGAAAAGACAAAGATCACTGGCCAGGGAGATTCTCACACAAGAGGAAGGTTCTGAGGTGGGTCTTGAATAATGAAGGTAGGAGGCCTACATTTCAGGTATGAGTACAGAGCAATCTCAAACTATGTTTAAAAAGTACCTTAAAAATACTTACTTGCTCCCATATTTTGCACTACTTGATCTTTTCTTCCTATACTTTTCATGAGGTTCATCTAGCTTCTCTATGATGCTTTTTATTTGCTGAATTGTCTTAAAGGTTGTTACAGAATCCTCGATTACAAAGTTAGAATAATCATCAGGCTCTTTCTGTGGTCCTTGATACACTGCTATAGTTCCACAAGCCTCTACAAGGAGCAGCAAAATCTCTGATCAGACAACTATGTCCCATAAATGTAATTAGTAGTAGAAATAAGAACTTTTCCAGTGTCTCAAGCTGGGGAGATTTCCCCTGGTAATGCACAGATAACCAAAATACATTCATTTTATTAATTATGATCCTCACATTTATGCAAAAATAGCATTTTTACTTCATGAAAATCTATGAGAAATTCTCCCCCCTTTGACAGTTTGTCAACTGTCACATAAGTAACATTTTGGTAAATATGATTATTTTCAACTTTAAGATAATGCCAAAGCAATACTTCAGGAACTGGTAATTAAGGAACATGGTTAAATAAAAATATTTTAATCATACATTACCTTCCATTTTCTGTAGCTTAAGTAAACTGAGGGTAAAAAGGGAATAAATTCTTTCTGTTTCTCTGTCTTCATCAATATCTATCTGGATGTCTGCAGGGACACCTCTATGGTAAAAATGAAATTAAAGACATTGAGAAAATTTCACTTTGTTAACATGCCAAACATTTTTGACAGTTTGAGACTAAAAAACAAAACCACAGAATTTTGTAGAAGGAACCTAAGAAATCTAGTCACATTTGGTAATTAAATTAAATAGGGCCAACAGAGGCTTGGTTATTATGCAACTCTAATCAAAAGAAGAGGAATTTAAAAGTGAAATCATTTTCATAACCTATGCTTCATCTCAATAGTAACACGTTATTTCTTCATTTAATAGCTGTTCTATACAATCATAAAAGGGAGTGCTTAGCCCAGCCAGTGTGGCTCAGTGGCTGAGCACTGACCTATGAATCAGGGGGTCATGGTTCGATTCCCAGTCAGGGCACATGCCTGGTTTGCAGTCTTGACCTCTGGTCGGGGGCATGCAGGAGGCAGCTGATCAATGATTCTCTCTCATCATTGATATTTCTATCTCTTTCTCCCTCTCCCCCTTCCTCTCTCTAAAATCAATAAAAACATAAAATTTTAAAAAAGAGAATGCTTGCCCTGGCCGGTTTGGCTCACTGGATAGAGCGTTGGCCTAGGGACTGAAGAGTCCTGGGTTTGATTCCGGTCAAAGGCATGTACCTTGGTTGCGGGCACATCCCCGGTAGGGAGTGTGCAGGAGGCAGCTGATTGATGCTTCTCTCTCATTGATGTTTCTAACTCTATCCCTCTCCCTTCCTCTCTGTGAGGAGTCAATGGGATATATTTAAAAAAAAAAAAGAGAGAGAGAGAGAATGCTTAACCCTTCTTCCTTGATATCTTGGCTCAAGTTTTTTATTTTTTTTTAAATACATTTTATTGATTTTTTACAGAGAGGAAGGGAGAGAGATAGTTAGAAACATTGATCAGCTGCCTCCTGCACACCCCCCACTGGGGATGTGCCCACAACCCAGGCACATGCCCTCGACCGGAATCGAACCCGGGACCCCTCAGTCTGCAGGGCGACGCTCTATCCACTGAGCCAAACCGGCTGAGCTTGGCTCAAGTTTATGTTGCCCTTTTTTCTGACTTGTGCCAGCCACTATTAATTTGAGAACATTTCTATCACTCTAAAAAGAAACACTTTACCCATTAGCACTCCCCATCCCTCCTGCCCTCCCACCCCATGTACTACTAATCTACTTTCTGTCTCTATGAACTAACCTATTCTGGACAGTACATAAATATTATTGTAAGGTATATGGTCTTCTTGTCTGGCTTTCTTCACTTAGCATGTTTCCAAGGCTCATGTGTGTTGTAGCATATGAAAGTATGTCATCTCATTTTATGGCTTGAAATATTCCATTGCATAGAGACCACATCTGAAACACTGCTTTTTCAATCGGAAAGAAACTTACGCAGTACATGGCTTGCAGCCGAGAGCACTTTCACTAGTCTCCTGACAGCAGAGCCAGCTGCCATTGAGATATGCAGAGGGATGGTAAGAGCTGAGCCTGTTCTGATTGCACCGGCTCACCCTGCAGAGTACGTCTATCCATTCATTAGCTTCTACACAATTATTTGCCTGGACGTAGAGTGGTTTCTCCGTATGAATTACTTGGAACATCTTTATAGGCAATTAAGATAAAAAGTTAGTGACAATCTAAAAACCAAGACATAGCACAAAACAGAAAAAGGTATATCACAGAAATATAGTTTGCTTGGCTAGATAACTGTTGCTGAAGTAGCTTATGAACTGTTACTTTTCAAGCAAAGACAATCTGAGTCACATGATACTAAACTGATCATCACTGTATAATTTTTAGAAGCCATACATGGCCAAAGGAACGGACTATCATATAAATAGGAATAAAGGGAGGGAATTTCAGATGGAAGAAAAAGTATAAGTAACGGCGAAGCAGTGGGAAATAGAGCAAAACAAGGAAATCGCCTTGGTTGGCTGGAGTATAATGGTATGTACTGAATGGCAGCAGAAGATAGGATTGCACAGATTGGTTGAGAATATGTCACTAAAGATTTAAATGTCAGGCTGAGAAGTTTAATAGGGTAATATTGAGAAAAGTGCTATTAACTGAATAGGCTAGGCAGACTCTACAAGGCATCAACAATAACGAACAATTTTAAGACAGTTCTAAACAGCAATTATAAAATATTAATGATTAATGGCAAACTCTAAAATGACCAACCTCTGGAAAATTTTCAACTAAGTAATTATATGCACTTTAAAAAGCTTTAATTATTTCTGTAACTTACATTTTTCTTGTTGAAAGAGCTATCTTCCAGTTTTTCCACAGCAAGAATGTTTTTCACTGGAATTGTGTAAAGTGCATC